TTAATCTGACGTCCTCCGCAAGTACTTTCGAAAACAGAATTTGAGAAAGGAATCGGTGTAGTTTATGAACCTTGGATGACGTACCACCATGGAACCCGTAAGTATTGTTTAACCAACAAACCCCTAACACAATAGACTATTATGATTATTTTTTCAAGTTATTTGCATTCGTGACGGGTTAAATTTATAGGCATTTTATCGTTGCTCCTGCTTTCATTGCAAATCTGAGCTATGAAAAAGCCGTAGCCATGTCTCCTGTTGTTGATATCGTGGATCTTATACTATTGCAAGTGAATGGTGATAATGAGGTGATCGAAATAAGTTTTTTGTTATGCATCGTTCCGCATTAGTTATATATTTATAATATTTCATATTTGTTGTTTTTTCTCAAATATATTGATTTTTAATTAAATACCAGGGCACTTGTTACCTCTTATCCGGACATGTCACAGAAGTGAGGTCTTCTTGGTGTGCTCAATCTAGAGTACATTTGATCCACTTAACTATTGAGGATCAATTCAGTGATGTTGAGGTGGTATTCTCATCGTCATACTTACGAAGGATAATTGCATCTATAGTTAGTCCCAATGATGCTGACAATGCCGACTTTGATACACTGCTCAATTTGCTTGGTGCAAACAGTTATGAAGTCATGGTCACAATCGGTCCCTGGAACAACATGTTCAATTATTTTGAGTTGTTCTTGGTAAAGTTGTTCTTGCCTTTGGGCAATTGATTACCATCTCCGCAATGTGAATGTAATTTAGTAATGTTTCTAAGTAGTACACTTGTATATAGTTTCTCCTATCCTTTAAGAATACTGGAATTGTAAACGCAACACTCTTTTGCAAGTACTTTATCCGTTTAGCGGTGTTCCATAAAAATTGTAGGAATGTCTTATTGTTGATAGTTTATTTTGTTGTTGTATGTATGAAATGATAATAGTCCATGAACATCGCTTCGTATCAAAACCAGATTGATGGATAGCATGGAGATAGTATGTGAAAAGGTGGATTAATCCACATGGTTAATTACCCCACCCGCCAGGCATTGAATTCATATGTTTGTTGAATACATGAGGCTCTGCTTCTGTCGTTTCATGTTTGGGTTTTGCCTAATCCATATCCTTATTCGTACTTCACATTCTCTTGTCCTTTTCAGTGCCATATTCTTGTTTAACACCATTCACCATCAGGTTACAGTTTGTTCGATCCATAAACACACATTCTCATGCAGATGTAATTGTTGAATTATGAATGGGTTAAAGTTTTGTTTTTCTTAATAAAGGGGAGGCAAAAGCCAATTTTACAAAGCATGGCGGTGCTGGTTAGTAAAACCCATGCGAAAGAGCAGTGGGGCAATAGAAGGAAAGAAAGCGGACCAATTTCTCAAGAACCAATACCAAAACAGGTGGCAGACAATAACTCAACTCAACAATCCAAGTTTATGTTCTGCAGAACTCTCCGCTGTAAACTAACACCAACAATGTCATCTAACGAAACTATATCAAGCCCTTAAGAAGGACAAAACTCTATCATTAGTAATCAATTAAGGTTAACAAATGAGGGAGTAATTATCCCACTTGATCCTGAAGATAAAACAAAAAAGCATAGAAATCGGTCACATAGGGAATAAGTTAAAGATAAAAGATGCATTCCCAACAAACTAAGTAATTTTTCTTCTGGAAAATGGATTCCCAACGATGCAAAAGTTAAAGATGAGAGATGAACCCAAATTGCTCAAAAAGCGTCACTTATTACACATTCTATCAAAACCATAACATAGACAAATATGGCAACGACTCTACATATTATCTGGCAAAAGGCTATAAACAATGCATTTGTAAAATTGATAATAGAATAACGAATCAATATTTACATAGAAATCCATTTCAAACCTGGTAGGGCTACTCTCTTGCACAATCATTGAACGGAAGGGAGATGCAGAAGGCTGGAAATGGCATGGCGGCTTGGATATAGAAGAGTGGAGTTTAACCTCGACTCAACCACTGTTTTGAGCATCATCAGAGACAAGGGGCCATAGTGATCATTGTCATGGTCACCTTCGAGAGCACTTTTTTTAGGGAAGGAGTTGTAGAAATTAATCATGTTTATCGTGAATGTAATTTTGCAGTCAATTTCCTGACTTCTAAGGGTCATTCTCCTACTTTTGGCACACATCTCTTCGATCGCTGTGAGCAATCCGAAGCTTTGTAACTGACTTTTGTACAACAACATTGACGTTTTCATGAGTCGTGGTATTAATGACATGAGATAGGACACATTGCGTCTCTTTTCTACCCAAAAATGCAAATAAATATCTTTTACATCCCACGTCATCCATCTAAACTGATACTACTTCCACCATTTACTTCTCTCAATAATCAATATTCATTTTTTTTAAAAAAATTGATGGGCCATTCACGAAAAATAATTCTGTGTACCCTCAATTTTAGTTTTATCAACAACAAAAATTAGTCTTATGTTTCATAATAGATTTTTTTTAGAATAATGAGGAAGTTTTTCTTTTCTATGGATTATAAAAAAATTTAATTAGTTATATCAAATAGTTCTATTTAGGATTAGATTCTGATAATCGAAAATTTAATATTGACATATAGTTATAGACCAATAGGTGCATAAAATTCATGAATATCGGTTCAAATATTTACAAACTAAATCAAATATATAAAAAATTTAAAGTTGAAAAATTCAATTTTCAAGTGATATAATGTTTTGTGTCGTCTTAACTCTTAAAATTCATAGTTTGTTATAGTATCGCTTATTGTAAATAGATTAAAAAACAAATAAAAAATCGCAACAAATTACCCAAAGGCCGGGCAACAAAGCTAGTTTGAGCTTAATAGGCAAGTGGAGTAGAGGTGGTATTCGGTCGAATTTACAGATTTCGGTATACCGATAGTGGCTAAATTGGAATCGATTATCGGCGCCGTCGCTCGACGTTCGTCGTCGTCGCCGCCAACAGAAGGAGAGACGATCAGGCGAAGGAAGACGAGAAGAGGAGAGCTAGAGAGGTGGTTGCGCGGCGCGGTATCGAAAAGAAAACGAAAAGAGGAGAGGTCGGGACTCGACGGGGTGGCTGGATCGTTGGGTAGGGGTTTTCCTAGGGTTTGGGAGGGCCAAGCAAAACGCAGCGCAACGCAGGGGAGGGGGATTTCAGTATCGCTATTACCGACTTACTGTCGGTATTTACCGATACTATGTTTGGTAAACCGAGTCGCCCAAGTTCCCGCTTGGTCGCCGAAACCGTTTACCGGCTTACCGTTTACCACCCCTAAAGTGGAGTGTCGACTTTTGAATAAGTTCAAATGTGTTGAGAGCAAAGTGAGGAACGGATCAGGTTAGTAACGTTACGGTGAGTAACTATGAGTAACCCGTCACATCAACGTCCCTCTCTCTCATGAAAAGCCTTTAATCTTTAACAGAGAATTTCTCTCTCGTTTTAAGTCAGAATTTAAAAAAAATTGCACAGATAAATCAGATTAATTGTGCTCTTTAAAATGATATCCACTTTGATATATTTTTAGAACAAAAAAAAATTGAGTCATTTTTTACCAGTCAATACCATATGGTATGCTCCTATTTAATACCATATGATAAGAAAACGTACCATGATGGTTTGAACATACCAATACTGTAAGAATGTTGAATATATGATAGTAGGAGTATACTAACTGTTATTTACGACTTTCATCATTGTTTACCACAAGTTACCACCCACATACCAGAGTGGTAAAGTATGGTGATTTTTGGTCCTGTATTTTTTTCACCCAGAAATTTGTAGATCCAATAGATCATGATGAGCTCGTTCTTTCTGAGCAAACGTTTTCTAAAACGACTTAAAAACGAAGAAGGTACCATATGGTGTGTAGTTGGTAATGAGAAGTATGGAAAAAAAATTCTCGAAATATATTGAAAATTGATCTCATTTTGTAGATTGAGATGAACTCGTTCCATCTGTGGAAAAAAAATTGAAATCCGAGTTAGAACTAATAAGATAAGAGTCGATTAAGAAAACTAGCGAAAATAAAATGTTTTTAATTCACAACACTTAGATCTGAATTTTCAGGGCCCACTTAGATCTAAAGATCTAGATTTAGTTACTAATAGGTTAGTAACCAATGGTTACTGAGCCAGCAAAGTGGGTTAGTGTTGCCTAACTTGTAATTCCAGAATCAGGACTATGAATATGTGTAAGATTGAATTGGGCATGTACAAGAATCAAGACTGGATCGATATAAAACAAAATAGTCGAGAATATATAGAATCATAATCGGAAATAGGCTGTAATTTTAATCCGAATCAAAATAAAAAGATTAAAGTAACCCTCTGATTAGGAATGGTAAAAGAAGGGCATAGCAAAGAGAAAAACAAACCAATGACAGAAAGGTCTCAACTCTCAACCATTCGATTTGATGCAAATCAAACCAATAGTCGCGAGTTAATGAAATTGAGATAAAATTTGAATAAACTTTTGATGCGGGTTCCTTATGGTCAATTCGATTAGATGAAATTTGACTCTCATGAGTGAAAGCACAAGATGCAATTCAGTTTTAAAATGAATAGGCAAGTATAACCTTTTTTCTTTTCCATGAGAAAATAGAAATAAAGAAAAATCAATACAACAAAAAGTCCATCCAACTACAATAGTTCTACAGCAGTTGGAAAAATATAACAAGAATCATCAAGTACATTCAAAATGAAGCTCAGAAAACTATCATAACACATCTTCTAATCTCAAAGACATAACCAAAAAGGAAAAGAAAAAACGAAAATTGCAGAAACAGGGCTTCATGAATCCGAACATAAATCTCCTTCCCCTGTATTACAGCAAGTAACTAGAGACAATGGTTCGAAGCTACCATACAGATTATCAGTAAAACGTGCAAAACGGTATAACTTTCCTTCCCTCCTTCAAAAGGTAAATCTGAAATTTTCTTCTTCTTCTTCTTCCAGTTAAGATGTACCTTTTGTTGTTGTCTAATCGATCTTCACGGAAGAGAAGAGGTAATGCACGAAGTAGAACGACATCCCGAACCCAATGGTGCCAGTGGACAGCATAATCGCGACAGCCATGATCAACGAGTATCCAAGGTAGAGTACGGCCGACACAGGCCCACTGAGACTCTGCAGATCAAAGACCAAGTAATTGATGGAGTACAGGAACACGTAGAGAGCTACAGATCCTGAGGCGTAGAACGCCTTCCACCACCATCTCCAGTCCTCAACGCATAGGTGCATGTAGGTGAGGACAACCGACACCTCAGCACATACCACGATGAGGAGAATGAGAACTATCAGCAGGAAACCGAAGACGTAGTAGAATCGGCCGAGCCATATGCTGGAGAGGATGAAGAAGAGCTCGATGAAGAGAGTACCAAATGGTAAAGTTCCAGCACCGAGGACAAGTAGCCACGAAGGGTACTTTCTTTCTGGAATCTCCCTTGGAATCTGGTTGGTTCTCACAGGGTACGAAATTGGCTCCGCTTTTGTGCCAAAGAATCCACCCAGGAGAGTTAGTGGAACTGAGATACAGAACCAGAGGGCGATAAGGATGAAGTACAAGGATATCGGGATGGCGCCAGTACTCTTGCTTCCCCATAGAATAAAGTTGAGTACTGTGAGGATTACGAAGACTATTCCAGGGAAGAAGCAGGCAACTGACCAGGAAACAGATCTCCATCCCTCAGTGGTCCCCTTCACAGTTCTCCATAACCGAACTGCCACATAACCTGCAATAATACCAAGGAAGAGGTACAAGATTATCATCCCAGTCAATAGCATTCCTCGAGAAGCAGGCGACATGAAACCGAATGCAGCGAAAACTATAGTGACAGCTGCCATCCCAGTAATCTGGACTCCATCTCCAATCATCACACAGAGAAGCTTTGAGTGCTCCGGCTCTCTGAACACATCACCAACAACAAGCTTCCACCCAGAAAGTTCTTCGTTCATCTGGGCTTGAGCTTCCTTGTCCAGTTCCTCGTACCTAGTCAAATCTCTCCTCACTGTTCTCAGGAATATTACAAACACTATACCCGCCAAGAAGAAGATAACCATGAGCGAGTTTAGGATCGAGAACCAGTGAACTCTGGCACCTTCCATTTTCAAGTAAGCATCCCAACGAGATGGCCATCTGACGTCAGATTTCACAAACTCAACCTCGTAAGTAAATGAAACCCTTTCTTGTTGCCTTATGATTTGAGACTTCTCAAGCTCCAATGGGCAGCTTGGGGAGGTGATGTTGTCATACTTGTGGAGCTTGATCATTGTTTCAGAATCGTACTTAACACTACACGGCACAACTTCGAAGCCGACTATCTCATATCCAGAAGCAGCCTTCTTATCTCCTTCAGAAATCACACCCATCCCTTCTTCACCAGTACCAATTATCTCCACCCCTCTTCCTTCGTACTCATGAACCAATACAGTGAACTTGAGGTGATTAATAATGTAATCTTCATTGCTGTTCTGTGGTGTGTACCCAACTGGAAAGCCGGTCCACTGGATCTTGATTCCATTCTGAGTAGCATACCTCATCACAGGCAGATTATCTAGAATCATATTCACTTGATAGAGATCTCGAGTTCTCTGCTTCAATAGCTTTACCTCGTGCTCACTCAAGGGAGGTGTAGTGCAGAGGTAAACAGATTCATTGACATTCATTCTAAACCTATAGGGCGAGTTGTCAATCTGATCTCCCATGAGAAGCTCTCCAAGATTCTCTGCACTTTTCTTGATTCCCTCATCTGGCTTGCAGTAAGGAAGACTGTAGTAGCTGAATGGAAGCTCCGTCTCAATCGAAGTTAACGAATTGACTTTGGCAAATATCTTGTCCCCTGTTGAATAGGTGTGCATGTAGCTACCAGGGAGGTAGAATCCATTGCAGGAATGTGCTAAGAGAACCACAAAAAGGAAAGCCCAGTGCATGTTGGGCATCCTCATCTCTTCCGATATCACAGCTGCAAAACCACTGAATTGAGAGCAGATCTCTCTATGAGTCCAGATAATATCAACAGGTGATCAACTTGAGAGATCCATTCCTAAAATCAATAACAGCTAGATTCATCATTGCAACATTTCTCGTCAACCGACTCCCAAGGCATGCAAAGCATTCGCAACAAACATAGAGCAATTCCACGCATAATGGATAAACCACTCGAATTCAATTCCAACGTAGAAAAATCCATGAATTAAATACAACGCTCATAAACGAAACACGAAACGCGCAAATCTATGGAACATCTCAGAAACACGGCAGTGTATGTCTACGGAGGATCTGATAACTAGACGGAGCAAAAGCGCAACGGAAAAAATAGCATATAGGCACGAAATCTCGAAGCCGCCATTGCAGACCCTCCTCTGGCCGCAATTAGATCTCAAGTATGAAGGTAAACATGCAGCTAAATCTACATCTCGGATTCGCCAGCAAATGGGAAAGGACGAGGAGGAGATTGAGAAACGCTTACCTGATGCAGATCTAGATAGCCAGAGAAGAGAGCTCCGAGTCTGATGGACGGATCCCGATCCGGATTCTTTCCTCCGATATGCCTCGAGAAGCGTGAATCGGCGGCGGCTGCTCGGTGAATGTCTCCCTCGCACTTCGTATCTCTTTCTCTTTCTCCCTCTCTCTCTCTAGCCGGCGAATTGCTTTGCTCGGTTTCTATGGAGATTGGAGGCAAGTAGACATGGGAAACGGGAGACGGTATTTTTGGTTGCAGAGGAGAGACATATTAAAAAACGGGAAATGCTGAATAAAAATAATAAGGATACTAAGGAATATTTAATTTTAATTACAGATATTCCGCAAAGTGAATATTTAATTCACTATATTCCTTTTTCATCATTAAATTTCCACACAAACTGGTCTTTTGCCACTAATTGTGTTAATGGTTTCTTTCAGCTATATATATAGCTCGAATAGTTTTTTTTTTTTTTTTTGCAATAGTGGAGGCCGAGGCCAAGAAAGACGAAAGGGGGGAGAAGAGAAAGGTTACATACTTGGGGGAAATGTAATCTGGCGCTCAAAGGCCACCCCCCTCCTATCCTCCTAAGAATCTGACAAAAAGCAGGAGTCAAGCTAGGAAGTTCATGCATACCGTAGGGATAGACGAGATTGTGCTTCGAGAGCCAGTCCGCGACTCTATTCCCTTCTCGATATGTATGGACTATCCTAACCAACCAATCCTTAGCTAACAGCCTCCGAATCGAGCTCAAAAAAGAAGCATAAGGGTGAATAGGATCCCTGCGACTTTCAATCAGCTGGATGGCTAGTTGAGAGTCTGACTCAATCACCAAATTAGTACATCCATACTTCCACGCGAGATTTAAACCATGAAGGAAAGCCCAAACCTCAGCCAGAGCAGACGAAGCTTCTCCAATTTTCGCCACAAAGCCTGCAATCCAGTGACCCTGATCATCTCGAATGACACCACCCTAGCCCGCAAGCCTCGGATTGCCCGCCGAAGCTCCATCAATGTTTAATTTCATCCACCCTCATTTCTCGCCTAGCTTTATGACCCCCTCTGCCTTGCTGGAGCGACGGAGCGAGCCATGCCTTATGCCACAGGTTGGCTTTGTGCTCAATAGAGTGAGCTAGGGAGGGGGCGGTGAAGGCCTTGTGAGCACCTTCTAGGCAAAACGTGCACCTGTTCTTCCAAATTAGCCAGATAGCAATACCAAAGAAAATATTCCAAGGCATACCGTCTCCCCTGGGGTCATCTTTCTGCAGGTTGCTGTGAAGCCATACCTCACCCTCGCTAGAGAAGAACGTGCGTTGACGATCATAGGGAACCCATCTCGACCAGCAGTATCTGGCTAGAGGGCAATCTCGAAAGATGTGGCTAATAGTCTCAGGACAATCCTGGCATCGAGCACACGCTGGGGAGTCAACACACTTCCTAGAGAACCTAAGGCAATTAGTGGTGATCCTTCCTCGTGCAGCAAGCCAAGCAAAGCAGGTAACCCGCTCCGGATAATAAGTTTCCAGATCTTCTTCCACGGTCTCTCATTCTGATCCGTCGGTCTCGACTGCAGCAGCTGGTAAGCTGACTTAGTGGAGAAGTGGTCATTGGCAGTCGCGGTCCAGAAAATGGTGTCATCATCGGGGGACAACACGTCCACCTTCACAACTGTAATCTTCTCTAGGACCTCGGTTGAGAGCCAAGGAGAGAGTCGGCTGATATCCCAGTTCCCGTCCATGTCAAGATAATCAGCAATCGTCTCCCGTCGCATCTCGTCTGAAATTGGCTGAAGCACCACCTCCAAAAGAGGACCCTGTAAAAGCCAAGTGTCAAGCCAAAACTTAGTCCACCGACCATTATGGATATTACACGCACAACCCTTCCTAAGAAGGCCAGAAGCCTTATAAAAGCTCCTCCAAGCAAAGGAACTTCCCTGAATTGGTCGAAGCATATCAAGCCCTTCCATCTGCCTGCCATACTTTGCGCGCATAAGCTGAGTCCATAGAGTATCCTTCTCCTGCAGCAACCTCCATCCACCTTTGGCCAGCAGTGAGAGATTCGCTTGACGAAGGGATCTGAGTCCACCTCCACCCTAGGCTTTTGGCTCCATGAGCTTATCCCAAATGAAATCCCTGTTAAACCTGTCAATTGAATTGCAAATATTCATAGGAATCAATTCAGTTTGCATTGTATAGGTGGGGATGGAAAGGGATATAGAACGAGTCACCGTGAGTCTCGCTGCCAAGGATAAGCGCTTCGCCTTCCAGGGTGCCAGTTTCTTCTGAATCTTCAGAACCAAATCTTAATACCGGCTCTTAGTCACTCTCCCATTAATGGTCCAAATGCCTAAATATTTTCCAAGCTCCTTAGCCAGAGGGATGGCTGCCCTGTCACTCAATCTTTGCGCCCTAGTTGTGCCAATATTCGGGGAGACATACATAATGGATTTAGCATAATTGACCCGCTGCCCCAAACTGTCGCAGAATTCATCCAAGCACGTTCTGATCATCCTGATCTGGGATCCTGAAGCCTCTGCAAAAAGAACCAAATCATCGTCAAAAAAAGGATAAGTAAGAGCGGGGCCATTCTGCGAAATGTGTATGGGCTTCCATAGCTTATCGCGAACAGCCCGGTCAATTCTATGCGAGAGACGCTCCATGCACAAGACAAAAAGATTGGGCGAAAGAGGATCTCCCTGAAGCACCCCCTGGTGGTGGTGATGGATTGCAAAAGCTCTCCATCCCAGAGAATACGCATCCGGTTTTACTCAACACAATACATGATGCAACGGATCCACGAGCTCGGCAGTCGACTCAGAGACCGCCTCCGGGAGAGAACCACCCTCAAGGAAAGCTAGCGCCAACTCCGTTAGAGCCTTTCCAACCACTCGCCAGGACTGCTGATAGAAGGTTGCCTGAAACCCATCTGGCCCGGGGGCCTGCAGAGGCTTCATATAAAAACTGCTTTATGGATGTCCATGATCGAGAATGGATGGAGTAAGCAGAGCCACTCTTCCTGACTCAAACGAGGGAAAGTCCCCTTGGGTATCAAATCCTCATACAACTGTCCATCCTGCAGATAAAGGTTAGAGTAGTAGTTGAATATAAGAGATGTCAGCTCATGCTTATAGCTCACCCAGTCACCATCCACCCCACGCAAGCATTCAATTTTGTTTGCTCTCCGTCTGATGTTAGCAATCTGGTGAAAATAAGCAGTATTCCTTTCTCCAAACTTAACCCACTTCTCTCGAGATCGTTGAAACCAATAGAGCTCATCTTGCTCCATCGTCCCTCAAGTTCCGCTTCGAGTTTTGAGTGAAGTTTGGCTAGCGTCGGAGAAAAGGACATAGCCAGCCTCTTCTCGATCCCCGCTAGCCGAGCAACCAATCTCTTCTTCCTCTGAAACACGCTGCCAAAAACTTCTGAATTCCAGGATTTGAGCTGCTCCGAGAGGTTCTGCAAAGCAGAAGTAAGATCGGTATGCCCATTCCATTTCTCAGTTATAAACTGCTGAAAAATAGAATGCGTCAACCAAGCTGCTTCAAACTTAAAACGCATAGAGGAAGGGTTAGAGACTCCTTGATTCATCACAGTCGTGAGGATTGGGTTGTGGTCGGAGCTTTAGCGAGCAAGGTGAACCACCAAAGTGCAAGGGAACTTCTCATTGAATTCCAGGTTGCAAAGGCTTCTGTCCAAACGACTAGCTTTGAACTTCTGAGGCTGGTTGCCCCTGGATCAAGTGAACTTAGCTCCAGAGAAACCAAGGTCTATCAACTCAGCTTCATTTATCCAATCCCCGAATTGATTGCAGCGCTTAAGGATACGAGTAGAGCTCTGTCCCGTCTTCTCTGCCGGAGAGAGAATTGCGTTGAAATCGCCAGTGAGAATCCACGGGCAGCGGATGTCTCTGCTCTGCGCCAAAATGTTATTCCCGAGAAGCCGCTGCAGCTGTTGCCGAGGAGAAGCGTAGACAGCTATCAGCTTCCAAGTAGGAGTATTGGCCGTAGTGATGTCGAGGGTAATGTGTTGAGGACCCGCAGAGGCTATATGGGCTGAGTATCTTTGAGCATTCCAAAAGATCCAGATACCACCACTCCGACCAGTAGCCTTGACGCGAAAAACATCAGGAAAGCCAACCTTGCTGCAAATCCGGTTTGCAACTTCACCACTGACCTGGGGTTCCCCCAAGATAACAATGTTAGGTCTATGGAGCTGGAGTGCAAGCTTTAGAGAGCGAGCGAAAGTTGCGCTACCAGCCCCTCCAACGTTCCACGAGAGGATTTTAAAGCAAAAATTGTAAGAGACAGACATTAAAGACAAAAAGAAACGAGGAACAGGGAAGAAGGGGCTCGGCCAAAGCGAAATTAAGAAAGGCTTTGGGTTGCTCCCACAAAGCTAGGTGTCTCTTCGCCCCTATCCGCCAGCGAGAGGGTGGATTCCGGTTCCATTTTGTCCGTTGGCGCAGTCTTAGCCAACTCCGTTC